AATATTTTGTTGTTTAAGATTCTCTATTGATTTTAATTGGTTTTTATTATCCAGTATGTCTTCATATCTCCACAATAGTTTTTAAAAAATAATAAATTAGGGTCAATAAAGGCTTCAGGTGGAGAGACCCATTTTGGTATCTCAGTATTAAAAAGTCTTTTTATTTCTTCCCATACTTTCAATAAAGATCTTCTAAGAATGTGTTGTTTAAAATACTTATGTGTATTATCTCTACCATACCACAAGAATGCATGCCAGCCCAATAATAAGTCATGTGCCTCTAACTTCAGTAGTCTTGTATTTTCCAGTAAGACCATTCTCTCACTTGTCAATGAAGATGCCTTACAAGATGCAAAAGAAAGAGCAGGATTTGCTCTACCAGATTGGTTTTTATATTATAATCTGGTAGAGCAAATCCTGCTCTTTCTTTTGCATCTTGTAAGGCTTTGAGTTTTATTCTTTATTTCTTATTTTGCCATATAAATTGTATCATCCAGTTCTTTAAAATATTGTTTATTTTGAAGAATTGGAATTGTTTGGAATAAAAAAATCAGTCCTGGTAAAATATTCATTTTTATAGTGGCTATTCTTCCCATTGAAGATATTTGTATCTTTCCAATTCTCCAGGTCTTTCTTAATTTCTGAAAAAAGTTTCATATAGTTATCCTTTAATAAAGAACTGCATCTATTTGTCAAATTTATTCCAAGATATTTCACCTTCTTCTGAACTTCAAAACCTGAGACTTCTTGTAACGGTTGGGTTTGTTTTTTAGTCGTATTCTTAGTTAAAAGTTTTGTTTTATGGAAATTAATTTTCAATCCAGCCACTTGACCATATTCTTGCAGCGTTTTTAAAAGTTGCATAATAGAATCCAATGGATTTTCTAGGATAAATACTAAATCATCTGCAAATGCTTGTAATGTATATTCTTCTCCTCTAATTTTCAGGCCTTGGATCTGTATATCTTCTCTGATCATGTTATTCAATGTTTCAAGTACAAAAATAAACAGTAATGGGGAAAGTGGACGGCCTTGTCTAGTTCCTTTTTGTACCTCAATATTTTGTGATAAATCTCCATTAACTAGAATCTTTGCTTGTTGTTTAGTGTAAATTGCTTTAATCATTGTATAGAACTCTTCCCCACAATGCAAGGTTAATACCTGTTCTAACATGAAGTTCCAGCTGACATTGTCAAATGCTTTTTCTGCATATAGGAAAATCAAAGCCATCTGTTTCTCTGGGTGGGCTTCAAAATAGTCAATTACATTTAATATACCGTAGTTCTTACATTATTTCTGAGTTGTCTTTTTGGTAAGAAGCCTGCTTGATCTTGATGAATTGTTTGTATCTTGCTGCCAAAATAGAAGCATATATTTTATAATCCACATTTAATAATGAAATTGGTCTGTAGTTTTTAATTTCTCTTTCATCCATACTTTATTTATGTATCAAAGTAATTAGGGCTTCATTCCATGTCTCTGGTATTTTACCGTCAATTATTATGTTTTGTATGACACATTTTAAAGGCATTATTCATTGATCTTCAAAAACTTGGTAAAATTCTTCCGGCAGACCGTCAGGACCTGGTGTCTTTCCTTTCTTCTGTTTGTTTAGTGCTTCTGTCAATTCAGAGAAGGTAATTGGGTCATTTAAGATTTTCCTTTGTTCTTCTGTAAAAAATGTTAGGCTTATGTTTTTTAAAGAAATCTTTAGCCTCTTCTTGGGTGGCTTCTCTTTTCTGGTATAGCTTCTCATAAAAGGTTTCAATAATCTTTTTCAGATCTCTAGGATTGTTTTTCTCTTCTTCTTTTTCATCTCTCAATATTTTAATATGTCCTTTTCTCTTTCTTTCTGTAGCCTATATGCTAACCATCTAGTTGGTTTATTCGCATTTTCAAAATAATTTTGTTTTGCATAGGTTATCTTCTTGGCTATTTCTTGTGTTAACAAACAATTCATTTGATGTTGCAATCGCTTTATTTTTATTCTTGTGTGTTCAGTTGAAGAGTCTTGTTTCAACTTATCTTCCTCTTTTTTAATTTGTTCAGTTTGGGTAAATTTTTGTTTCCTAATATATGCATCTTCTCTGATTATACAGCCTCTGGCATATGCCTTAAATGCATCCCATACCACTGTGATGGAAATATCTGGTTGAATGTTTTGTTTAAAAAACATTTGAAATTCTTTTTAAATATCTTCTACCAATTTTAAGTTCTTCAAAAGAAAAGTATTCAAAGCCCATCTATTTTTCTTTGGTGTATCTTGTAGTGTGAGAAGTAGAGGATTATAATCTGCAAAAATTGCTGGTAATATCTCTGCTTCCAATAGGTCATTTGCTTTGATGTATAGTAGTGATTATAACTGTGTTATACTTGTAATAATATTTATGAATAATGTTAGATGCTACATAAGCAATGACTTGGCATGGTCATCCAAACACTCTGCGAAGCTAGCATCTTGTGTCCAATGAGCCTTAGAAACTGTGAAACGGGCAACATCTTTCCCATAGAAACTCTGCTTATGTGACCATAGCACATTGTTAGAGCATGTGCTTTGCATGCAGAAGGGTTTGGTGCATGAAATATTCAGATAAAAATAGATCTGGTAGCAGGATCTCTCTGTGGTTGACACCCTGGAAGCCTGATATCAGTGTGAGTAGACTGTGGTGAGCTAGCTGGTCTAGTGGTCTGACTTGTTAATCAAGTAGTTTCATATGTATATATACATTCAACATAATGCCTTATGAACAAAAACTTTGACCGTCTGAAGTAGCAATGGCTGAAAGAAAGAATCGAGTGCATTCTGAAGAACACCCTGCGTCTAGTGTCGTCTCTACTGCTACTTTTAAGTGCTAAAGCTAATCTAGCTGGATTAGGAAGGGATCCCTCTGCTTACAGACTCCCCAGAGGTCAGAAACTGTTTAAAAAGCAGCATGACGTGAGCCGCTGTGAAGGAAAAATCTAAATGTACCACAAGACAGACTATTGCAGTAGGGTGTAGAAAGACTCTGTCAGCCAACCAGCTTTTTGGAAAGCTGTGTACCCAGGGAAGGTGGGCCTTTGTCCTATGTAAATTGCAGAACTGGTGCAAGAGTGAGGCAATTAGGATGTCCTGGGCAATAATTTCCCCACGTTGCATTCTGATTACAGGGAGGTGAGCAAAGAAAACTTCCTCAGGCTCCTTCAGATTAGTGATGCAGAGAAAATACTGAGCCAGTTTGGTGTAGTGGTTAGGAGCGTGGACTCTAATCTGGAGAAACTGGGTTTGATTCCCCACTCCTCCAAATGCAGCTGCTGGTGTGACTTTGGGTCAGTTACAAGTTCTTTCAGAGCTGTTCTCTCAAGAGCAGTCTCGAAAGAGCTCTATCAGCCCCACCTACCTCACAGGGTTTCTGTTATGGAGAGGGGAAGAGAAAGGAGATTCTAAGCCGCTCTGAGACTCCTTTGGGTAGTGAAAGGGGATCCTAGATCCTAAAAGTGGATGCAAGAAGTCTGCATGCCAAGGTGTGTATGTGTTGGACCTCCTCCCCTTGCACTGTTCCTTTCCATATCTCTTCATATAAAGCAAAGGGGAAACCGTGCATTTGCGTTTGGAGCGTATTCATCTCCCCATGATGAGTATCAGCAATGATAGCTGGAAGTGTGAACAAATATGCTCAAGCTGCTTGTGCAAACTCTTTTATTGTTAAAAACAACAACAAAACATTGGTGTTTCACCTGTCTCATCAGAGCTCTTGAGGCCCTATCCTGCTTTTTGACAAAAAAAACCAGTTTGGTGTAGTGGTTAAGTGCGCGGACTCTAATCTGGGAGAACTGGGTTTGATTCCCCACTCCTCCACTTGCACCTGGCTGGATGGCCTTGGGCAAGCCATAGCTCTGATAAGAGCTGTCCTTGAAAAAGAGCAGTTTCTGTCAAGAGCTCTCTCAGCCCCACCTACCTTACAGGGTGTCTGTTGTGGGGAGGGGAAGGGGTTTGTAAGCCGCTCTGAGACACCTTTGGGTAGTGAAGGGCAGGATATAAATCCAATCTCTTCTTCTTCTCTTCTTCTTACGAATGCTTGTCTTGCTGAAGCAAGTGACTCTGACTAATGGAAATGGGGTCTTGTTTGGATAGAGGTTATCTCTTTTCTTTTCCTCTTAAGTCTTCTCCCCTTACCCACAACCCTACTACTGTTTTTGACCTCTAAATTCTTTTTGGTGCTGACTTGGCTGGCTTCTTCCCAGACCACTCTCTCCTCCTGCTTATGGAAGGAAAGAGTTTCTAATTCTGGCCAATAGCTGACTTTCTGCTGTGGGGGCTTTTGCCCCTTCTCCCCCCCTCCCTCTCCACACACACACAATTCCTGGGAACTTTACAGATTGCAGAAGCTTTGACCCCTTTGTAGGCCATAGTTCTCATTTTGGATCAGCAGCAGCTGCTCTTCCAGTTAGCACAGGGGAAACACTGCTAAATACTATCTTTCCTCTCCCCGGGGGCTGTGATCAGGAGTGTAGCTGGAATTAAAAATGCTCCAAGAGCCACATAGACACAGAAGTATCAACACAGTCAGTATGCTGTCTAGAGATACTACTTTGTCTTTCCCTCCCACTGGAACTATTCCCTGAACATTGCTAGCAAGATTTCTCTTCTGCTCTTTAGCTCTTCTCCTTTAATGGGCATGCGGTAGGATGTCTTGTACTCCTTACCCTGAATATCATCCCCGATTCTGCTGCTGTCCCACTACCTCCATGTGCACGTGCGCTCTGAAAGTGCCTCCCCCAATTCTCTTCTTCAGACCTTCATTATTAAAATCCAGAGTGTCTGTGTTTGCCAGTTAGTGGTGCTGCATGGGAGTGGGGTAGCGGGGTAATAATACCTAAAACTGGCACCTGCGCATTGTTACGAGAGCGGTAGTTGTGGAGGGCTAACATAGGAGAGCTTGGCTACTTCCTAAGCAAGGGGCTACCACTGTGTGTGTTGAACAAGAATTCACTAGATCCTTTTTCTTGCTCTCTTCCAGACATGATCAGTCAGAGGGCTGCAGGAGCCAAACGCAGTGGGAGCACTCCGCTTGGCACAGGAAGGGGCACTCTGCGGCTTCGGGCCAAGGGACCAGCCACTGTCGAGGAACAGGTGCGTGCCTAACCTGAATCCAGCAGCAATGCCCATGCAGGGAAAATAAGCAGCCACACAAGCAACTTGTAGTTCCGTCTCGTTCCAAGAATGCATCAACTCTCTCTCAGGCCTTCCCATGATTTGGTCCAAGTGTAATGGCAAAGCATGACTTGTGTTATGCGAAAGAGCCCGGAACAAGCCTCAGATGAGCAATGCTCCCTCCTCTTCCACCTCCCATTTCTTCCTGATTTGTGACAGACTAATGTTTGCTGTTTAATTCAAGAATTGAGGTCCTCTGAATCTGTCCCACTAGTAGTGGCAACTTCCTCCAGCTCAACAGAGGGGTCTTCTGCTAGAGAGAGGCTCTGCTGCTACCAGAATAGTTTTGTAGGGTCCAGCCCTGTAGCTTGTATTTTGCCTTGTAAACAAGAATTGTAAACCACGGAGGAGGAGGTACACAGGCCTGAGTCTTGTTGATGTAGCACCAAACCACAGTGTGTTGTTCAGTCGCACAGTCGAGTCTGACTCTTTGCGACCCTGTGGACCACATCACACCAGGCCCTCCTTCGTCCTCCGGAGTTTGCCCAGCTTCATGTTCATTGCATCAATAACACCGTCAACATCTTTTGCTGTCCCCTTCTTCTTTGACCTTCAATCTTTCCCAGCATCAGGGTCTTCTCCAGTGAGTGCTCCCTTCTCATTTGGTGGCCAAAGTATTGGAGCTTCATCTTCAGTATCTGGCCTTCCAGGGAACAGTCAGGGTTGATTTCTTTTAGGATTGACTGATTTGATCTTCTTGCAGTCCAGGGGACTCTCAGGAGTCTTCTCCAGCACCATAGTTCAAAAGAATCTATTCTTCGGCGCTTGGCCTTCCTTATGGTCCAGCTCTCACAGCCATACATGACTACTGGGAATACCATGGCTTTGGCCATACAGACTTTTGTTGGCAGGGTGATATCTCTACTTTTATTATGCTGTCAAGGTTTGCCATCGCTTTCCTCCCAAGGAGCAGGCGTCTTTTAATTTCATGACTGCAGTCACTGTCTGCAGTGGTGTTGGATCCCAGGAACGTGAAGTCTGTCACTGCTTCCACGACTTCTACTTCTATTTGCCAAAGAGCGATGGGGCCGGATGCCAGGATCTGTGTAGGTCCGGATCAAGGCACCAATTTTGAAGAGTCCTGTGTGGCTCTCAGCTTACCAGTCCTGGGTTTTCTCCATTTTGTTCATCTCCAATCATATTGCAACCATGTTCCCCTCTGTTAACACAGATAAGCTATTATCACAGATGGTCTTGTCTGTTCGTGGGCATAGCCAGGTTAGCAGGTGGGAGGGGGTTAAGTTTTCAGCTTCCCTTCAGCTTTCTTTCACTACCACATCTACAACAGTAGTTGTCCTCTTCCTCTTCACAGCCATCTGCATTCGAAGAGAAAGCCATTGAGAAGGTTGATGATCTTCTGGAAAGTTACATGGGCATCCGTGACACAGAGCTGGGTAAGGTCCTTCTCTTCCTTTTGCCAGTCTGAATAGTAAACAGTTTTTAAAAAGTGAAATGTTTAAGAGAGTTGGGATGATTAATCAGCAGCATCCCAATGTGCTGTAGCCTGTCCCCAGCGTGTATGCCTGAGGAATGGGAAGGATGAGGAGCCTCTCACAAAGCAAATGCGAGGTCCTTCCTCCCTCTTTATCCTCAGGCTGGGTTTTGTTCAGGCTCCTGGTTGCTAGAATTGAGACTGACCTCTTTCTTTCCTCCCTCTCCCGGCATAGCTGCTACCATGGTGGAGCTGGGCAAGGACAAGCAGAATCCTGACGAATTTGCTGAGGCACTGGACGAGCAGCTGGGTGACTTCGCCTTCCCAGACGAGTTTGTCTTTGATGTCTGGGGAGCCATTGGGGATGCCAAGGTTGGGCGCTACTAGGACTCTGCATTCTGTTGGACCCTGCGGGCAGGACCATTGGGCAGGCCCACTGGTGGGCCTGGCACAACACTGTGCCCTCCCCTTGATGCTGGGCCACCCGTTTCCTCTCTGTAGGGCTGGGCCAGGGCTACAGGGGCCATAGAGCAATAAGTAACCTGCATCGGTGACAGGAGTGTAATGTGAAGTGGGACAAGAACAACTTGTTGCTGCTGCTTCCCACCGCCCGGAGCATAGAGACTCCTCCCTCGGATGAGTGTAGTCTTCCAGGAGGACATCTTGGCAGTTTCCTTGTCTGATTTAAGCACTGTTCTGTGGGCCCTATTTTGGCCCGTGCTGGTTCCCAAGCCTATCCTTGTCTGAGAGAGAAGATAACAAGATGCTGAATCCAAACCTGAGAGGGTTGACACATTGGCCTTGGCATCCTGACACACCTGGGGAGTCCCACAGGCACTGGCAGTGGAGATGGGCCGGTCAGGGGCGGGCCATGTTAGCTGTTTGCAACCCCAAATGCTCCTAACTGCACATATCTGTTGTAAGCAGATCAAGGCCTAAGAGGGGACACGCTGTCTTTTTCTTTCTTTCCTGGAATTAGCATCCTCTCTGCCTTGACTCCATTTTGGTACGAGATACATGTTGGCATGTCCTTTCTCCGGCAGTAGGCTTATTCCACAAAGGCAGTCACGTTCACTCTGTTGCATGTGTACATGAACACTCACGGCCTTTTTAGAGAGTGCCCCACTTGGTTAGTGTCCTTTGGCTCCCTGCAGCTGGCTTGTAGGCCTTAAGACAGGGTAGACATTCTGTGGTTCTCTTCCAAGTTAAAGCAGCACCGTATTATAAAGTAAAGAAGCTGGAGAAGAGGAGGGGGATGCACTTGCCTGTCTTGTTTTCTATAGATGCCCTCCCATTGTGCAAAAAGGGAAAAAAAACCTGTGGGACCGGGCACCAGTTCTGCCCCAGAGGTCCAAGGTTATTCTCCTTAAGGTGCTTCTTATCAGCACTTGAAGGCCCTCCCATGACCAGCAGCAGGGTCCCTTCACTGTTCTCAGTTTGGGCATGCCCTTGTCAATATCTGTCTCGACTAATCTGTTCATTTTTATCATACTGACCTACCTCCCAGAGTGGCCCAGTTAGTGTCTGCAAAGCTCTCTGTATTAAATTATTTATCTCTCAGTGCCCTACACTCCCAACATGTTGATCCTCTGGCTAGTGTTACATCCAGGCCTATAGTTTGGGCTGTGTCTGGTTGTCTCAGGAGCTGAGAAGGTCCCCTTGAACTACACCTCACAACCCCAGTTCACCTACTGTATCTTTAAAACTCTAACCCTAGATAGGATATGGAGCCTTGTTGCCCTCTGGACCACACCTCAAGTTCCAGAGAGGGCAAGACCTCTACCAAGCCCTGCCTACCTGTGTCCTGGCACTGAAAGTTTCTTGGGTGGACTAGGCACCATGTTCTCCTTGGGCATATTTTTGTATTCTATGTGTAAAGCATCTTTAAGATAAAATATATTGACACTAGTAAGCTCTCTGTGTTTGTGTGTATGTTAAGAGTGTGAGGAATGGCATTCTGCTATTAAGCCTTCTCCGGCCCTCTGACTGCACTGAAAACTTGCAGATGCGGCGAGGAAAAGGCTGCTGAAGATGGGAGCTTGTGGGGCTGGATCAGTATGCGTAGTGGGGCAGAGATGGGTAAACAAGATTATTCCTAGGCTGCTTCTGAGGGGTGAGGAGAAGGAGGTGCAGCACAAGTGTGTTATAGTCTGTCTGAAAGAGGCAGACAGAAGATCCCACAGTAGACTGCCTTGACCAGTGCCCAAGGTAAAATTGCTGCAGTCTGCATGGTCACAGCATGTGGTGGTTCATCTGGAGCCTGCGCCTGAGTGAGACTGCCTGCCATCTATTAGTTCTTGGACATAACACTTTAGGTTTCAATTCTGTCAGAGCTGCAAATTATGTATCGAATGCATATGGGGTGAGGCTCTAGGACTGCAGGGCTTATGCAGTTCCTAACCACATCCCCCCCCCAAATAAATACTTCTGCATCTTACTATGCAGAACAGTCTGAAGATAAATAGGTTGGCTCTTCTGCCAAGTGCTGGCTTGTAAAAAGGGCCCTGTACATGAAGTAGAACCAGATGCTACACTGTGTGGAGTTTTTATGGGCGTTCTGGGCTTCTGCAGCTGCTGCTGAACTGACCTGAGTCAGATGCACAGGTTATACAAAAGGATGTGTGTAATTGGAAGGAAGTAGATCTGCCCCCTTCCCGGGCTCATTCTAACTTTTGCCTAGTGGTTTAAAAAAAAAAAAGATGGCAGGGAAAACAGCAGAGAGGTTTCAAGAGATCTTTTCTTTTGGAGTTTGCAACAGTGCTTGGAATAGCCATTATTATTGTCCCACAGCCCCCGGGGCTCGGCCTCTAATCACTGCCATTCCGTTCTTCAGTGGAGATTGTGAAGAAGATGGGCTTGGAGCTTTGTGTTTCAAGCAATAGAAGGAACATTTAATTGAAGTGCCTCAATTGTGTCCCCAATTAGCAACAAGCAGGAACAAACACACCTTCTTGCCAATCGAGCTGGGCCAGGAAATGGGATCGCTTCCCCCCCCCCTCCCCCGGAAGTAAGTAGCAGAACAATGGGGGGGGGAACCAGCTTGCATGTCTCTTCAGGATGTACCAGATGATTTGCCAGACTACCATTCTAACCTGAGATGCAGTAGACGGCTGGGGCAATTGAACTGTTTTTCATACATCCCTTTCATTAAGCAATTAATAGAGGGTTCCAAAACACATGTAGCTAAAGCTTTTACCTGTCTTCCTCTCAACTGCAATCCTGCCCCCCTGTCTTTCGGCAGAAATACCCTGGAGAGTGTCAGGTTCCCAGTCAAATCACTCTCCACACACACTTTCTTTAGTGAATGTTTTATTTAGAGATTTGAGATGCTATGGGTTCAGACTCTTTGTCAGGACTGAGGTGCAAAGGCGGGAAAGTCACGTATAATCGCAACCTCAAACTTCTATTCATACCCTTCAGCAATACTACAAAGACCATGAAAGATATACGGTCAACAACTAGCCAGACACAGACTCTACTTCAAGGACACTTCCTGTGTGAAAGATGTCTTTGAGGCCCCATGGAAGAGTTACCGAAGCTAGCCTCCCTAAAGTACTACAGGCACTCACTCCCCCCCCCCCCAGGAACGCAATGGCAGGCGAGGGCAAGCGATAAGGGTACAGGAATAACAAATGGTTGGGTTCAGGGAGCAAGTGGGATACAGAAAGCATAAATGCACTGGGTAGAAAGGCAACAGGTACAGTTGGTCAAACGCCCGAGTCTGACAGAGAGCCTCCTCCTAGAGCTGATCTTGTCCTATCTGTGTGTGATGTACCGTGCAGCCTTCCCTTTATTTACCTTTGGACCTGCAGCTGTTTCTGCCTCACAAAGAGCTCAGTGAAGTACGTGTTAGGATGTCTGTTGGAGGAGACTGTGCTCTGTTCTTGTCACCCTGCCCTGATAAGCAGCTACTTCTCAGTGTGAGGTGAGGATTCCCTGCAGAAATGTCTACCCCGGCTCAGAGCCAGATGTCATCACACAAGGGAAAATGGCCTTGGTCCAATGTCCCAGTTAACTCTCTCTCTGTCCTCATTACTATGTCCTTGCCCATTACTACGTCCTTGCTCTACCTTTTCTAATATTTGACCTGGTGCTCTCAGAGTTGAGGCTTGCTGAGCACTCCTGTTTCATTAGTGCAGGAGGGAGTACTTATCCTCTGAGTAGAAGTATTAAAGGCAATGGGACTTCTGCTTATACAAACCCTCTCGCAAGATCCCTGCTTAGAGAGAACAAAGGTCCATCTGATGCTCTTTTTCCAAATTGTGGCTAGCCAATGGCCTCAGGAAGCTCGAGCAACAGTCCTTCCCTGTTCTACGACCCCAACATCTGGATTTTAGAAACGTATCCTCTCTGGACAGAGGTCACGCTTAGCTGTAGTGGCTAACAGCCATTAAGTTTTCTGAACTGTTTTTAAAGCCCTCTCGGCTAGCAGCCAGAACCACATGTTGTGGTAATGAGTTCCAGAAGTTAATTATGTATTGTGTGAATAAGTATTTTTCTGTTGTTTATTCTCAACCTATTGTTTTTACCGGGGGGGGGGGCTGCCAACAACCTGGCTGTGGTGCCTCCCCCCCCCCAAGAATCTCTCTAGGCCTCCCTCTTCATACCAACCAGACCCAATCTAAACATGAAAACAAATCACATTACCTGTCCAATTCTTTGGGTCCCCAAGGTGATCAAAGCCCCTGGAATTTTGCCCCATCCAGTCTTTTCCTTTTGGCAGAGGCTATGTTTGTGTGTTTTGCAGGTCGCAACTGTACGGTTCCAACAGCCATAATCCAACCAGCACTTTCAAGCATTATTACACATATGTGTATTTGGGGAGGAATCACTTTTCACAGCAACTCAAATTTGCTGTTTGTGAGCTGGGGTGGGGAAACGTTTTCCCTGCATTCAAAACATTCACTTCAGAGACATTGTTTGGATTGTGCCTGGCAACTGAATCAGCCTGTGTGTTCTGAGCACAAAACTGGGTTCTCAGTTGGATAAGCCTTATGAGCTAGTCAGATAGAGCACATCATAATTCAGTCCGTAATGAGGACTAACATGACACATCCTCTAGCAATGGAACCCTTTCCCCCCATTCCAGTTGCATTAAGCAGTCAGCCCACAGCAGTCCTGTCACCGGCAGCTTCTTTCTGCCCAGGTCTAATTAGTGCCCGCATTTGCCTATCATCACCCCCACCCTGGTACTTTAACAAAAGGCTCCTTCCCCTTACTCCCCAACTCCTGCTCTCTGTAAGGGCCAGTCTACATGGCAGTTAAAGTAGACCTAGCTCTCCACTCATACGGAGAGATGCAGTGTGTGAGTCAAATCATGTGGAAACTGGACATTATATTGAAGTTTGTGGGTTATCTGCCATGTGACATCCCTGTTTCTTGAGATGATGGTATTTTGGATGGGTATGCTTTACAAAACCAACAGAAGGAAATGTTGCAATACATAGGAGTAGTAGTTCCTGTGGCAGCAAGCCTGTCTTGCAGTGATAGTGTTGTTGTATCTCACCTGCGCCTGCTGTGTTCTTGCCTTATGAATATGATCTGTAATGAACTCAAAAAGCTTGTCCGTGTGTAAAAGAATGAAGTGTTCCTCGTAATGGTGGTAGCTAGCAACATAATACTCCAGGATGGCTTCAGCCAAGGTCCTTTTGCAGCATTGGTGAGAAGGCCAATTCATGCAGCTGCAGTGTGCACTCAGCCAGCTGCTGTTTGGAAAAGGGAGGGCCAGACTGAGCTCTACTCAGAGTAACACGGCTTTCTGAATCACTTATTGCAAGTTGAGATAATTGGTTATACCACATATCTGTCCACTGAAGAAGAGTGAAGTGATGTGCTTGGGGCAAATGGTTCAGATGGCCAGTTTGCCACTAGCAGAGTTATAGTTGGGAAGAAGTGGCCAACCACACAAATAGTGTCTGTATGGTCCTGACAAAACACTGCCACACAAGTAGCAGATTCTTCACCTCCACATGCACTGGCCACTAGGTGGGGCTACCATGCATGCTTTAAACACCTTCCCTTGAACGTGCCACGGATTGGACACAGAAACAAAGCTTTGTTACCTGTACAGCAGGACTAACTGAACTGTGGAGCACCACACACTGGAAAAGTCCCTGACAGGGACTAGGCTCTTTGATTTTTGTGACTCCATTCTCCATACTCCATATATTCAAGCAGTGGATTTTTGACCTGCTGCTGCAAGAGCATGATCTGTTCTTGTGGCAACTGGAATAGAGAAGTAGCAGAATACAACTAAAACTTAATGATGCCCTTTCCCAGCTTCACCTTTTTCTCAGCTCCACTCCCAGCAACCAGCCTCATGTGTTTGTTGAGCTCTGTCCCAGCATGATTTTCAAGGTCTGCCTGTAGCATTTGCAAAGCAAGGCTAGTTTAAACGTTTAGCAATATACAAACTTTAAACATCTGTTTTCATCCCTACCCGCTAGCACTGCATTTAATTTACATATAAAGATAAGCATGTTTTTGTGTCATGCTTGTGTATGGAATGGAAGTTTTGTCTCCTAAACCCAGCATAGAGTTGCAAATGAGTTTTGCTGCTGTTGGATTTCACAGACAACTAGCACTTTCTACTCTGCACCATGCAGAGTAAATTTTGCAAATGTGATTGCTTGTTCCTGCTGGAGTTTACAGAGTACCAGCTCTCTCATCCTCTTTCCTGACTTCTCCCATGCATAAGGGTTGCAAATTAGGGTTGTCTGCTTCTCTAGATTGCAGAAACTCCACCTCCTTTCTTGCTACTGATCTGCTCATTACACTTTCTGGAATCAGAAAGTGAAAGTGACACTTTCCCAGGTTTGGAAAGTTCCTACTTGCCAGAAAACAAATCTGCTAACATCTTGGTGTCAGGCAGGTGATTCTGTGTACCACTGTATCTGAAAC